ATCCTTATTTTTTGTATGCTGAATACGCCTGGTCAGAATTTCACCTCCACCCATCAAACGAGACCTGCTTCACACTGTCCACTTTTCCCTTCAAGATGGCTACCTCAGATGTCTTCTGAAATGTTTTCATTCTCTTTATCACCACTAGACAATGCTGCTTTCTCTTATCTCTGTAAATACCACATTCTCAGTTCAAGGAGAATGCCATAACTCCATCTAAACTCAGTTTGAGCCTTGAATGAGCAATGAGTCTTTCTTATTCACAAAAAAAAATAATGAAATATTACCTTGCTTTTTATCCTTTTTCTTTTTCTCTTCAAATTCTTTTTTTTTGCTTTAATATTTCATTTTTATTTTTTGTTTTTGCTGATCTTTTTTTTTTGCATTATTGCCATTCTTTTTCTTCTTCAAACGTTCGTTTTCCTTTTTTTTCTTTATATTTTGTTATTTTGTTTGTTATGGATTTTTTTTTTCTTTCTTCTGTCCAATAAATTTTCCTTTCTCCATTTTGTTTTCATTTTCACACCTAAAAGTTTGCCAATTTCTCTTTTGTTTTTCTTTCCCAATTTGTTCGCAAAGCTTTTCACCTTTTGTTAACAATAATTTCTTTTTCCCTCAGCCTACTCCTCCTACGTCTTCTTCCCTACAACATTTTTCTCATATTTCTTTTCTTAAATCTCTTCCTCAGGTCCCATCTTCCTTATTTTTCTGTACCTTATAAAAAGGCTTACATTGTTTATATTTCTTTATTTCTGATCTTATAATATTTTATGTTGTTTTTTTATTTTTCATTCTTCCTCCAGTTCTCTTTTTCTTCATCTTGATTCTTTTTTTTTAATTTTATCATTGCATTTTTTCTCTTTTATTTTGTTTTTCCAGTTTTTATCATTTTTCTCTATTTTCAGACCTACTCTTTCTCTTCCGAGTTAATCTTATTCCTTTTTTTCTATTTTCTCCTTCTTTCTTTTCCCTACTTATTTACTTTTTATTCTTTTCCAACTTTTTCTGTTTCACATCTACTAGATTATTTATTACCTTCATAACCTTTTTTTTATATTACTTCCTTTTCTTTTTTCTTTCCTTTTTCTTTTTTTTCTTTCGTATTTCTTGGTTTTTATCTTTCTTTCTTTTCCTCCCAGATTTTATAACTTTTACCAATTTTAATAACTTGGACTTTTTGTCTTCTCTTTATTTTTTATCAACCATCTTTTGTTTATTTTTTTCATATATTCTCTACTTTTTTTTAAACTTCTACCTTCTTCCTTTCTTTCTCTATTTTCTTTTTTTTTTTCATTTCTCACAACATTCTTGTTTTTTCCTTCCCTGTCATGGCACTTGTTTTCCTTTTGCACCTGGTTATTTCATCCCAAATCCCCACAGAATGACACCTAGTCAGTAATCTGATGGATATCCATCCCCTGACAAAATCATTTATTCACTTAGCCTCTCATTCGTATTGTTTGCCATTCAACAAAAACACCTCCTTTCATTCATAACTTTTCTGCTCCTTTCTCTCCAACAACCACAAAGAAATATTCGCCTTTCTTGCCTGTATAACCTCGTTTCTTCACCTGTCTTTTCCAAGAAGCCTTACACTCCTGTTACTAATAAAAACTCAAACCAAAAATAAGAAATAAAAGACAATCTGACAGACAGATGAAATACTGGTGATGGACAGACTGAAAATATTGAGAAGGAAAAAAATTTAGAAAGAAAAATAGAAAGAAAACAGAAAGAAAAGTAAGAAAAAGAAGAAAAAAGAAAGGATAACTCACCGATAGAAAAGACTAAAGGTAAAGAGAGGAAAGAAAAAGAATGTTAAGGCCAAGGAATGAAAGGAAATAAATAAATGATGAAACTACAGAAAGAAAGAAGAAAAATAAGAATGCAGTTGATAAAGCAAAAAAAAAAAAAAGGAAATGTAAAATGAACAAATAAAACAGAATGTAAACGACAGAAAACTGAGAGGTGAAATTGAAGAAAGGAAAAAGCAAAGAAGTTTTAATAAAGTGACAAAAGAAACAAAAAACGAAAGAAAAAAGAAATGAACAAACACAATTTTGTAGGAAAGAAAAAACTTTATAAAAAAGAAAGAAAATTTTATAAGAAAGTAAAAAAGAAACAAACAAATAAAATGTTGTAAGAAAGAAAGAAAGAAAGAAAGAAAGAAAGAAAGAAAGAAACAACCAAACGAAATTTTATAGAAAAGAAATAAAAAAATTTTGTAAGAAAGAAAGAAGAAAAGAAAGAAATTTTTATAAGAAGCAAAGAAACAATGAAACAAACAAAATTTTGTAAGAAAGAAAGAAAATTTTATAAAAAAGAAAGAAAGAAAGAAAAAAAAGAAAAGTTTATAAGAAAAAAATGAACAAATAAAATTTTGTAAAAAAAAAGAAGCAAACAAACAGCCAAAGAAAATGTTGTAAGAAAAAAACAAATTTTGTAAGAAAGAAAAGAAGAAATGAGTAGATGAATGAGAAGAAAGAAAGAAAGAAAGAAAGAAAGAAAGAAAGAAAGAAAAAATTTTAAAAAATGGATAAAAATTGAAAGGATGAAAAAATGTAGAAAATAAAAGATAAAAAAAGATACAAGAAAAACAATCATAAAAAAACTTCAAATAAATACATTAAGAATGTCATTGTTTCCTTTCTTTAGCTTTTGTTAAGCAAAAATGAAGATGAAATATGCTACATATCTCCTATTTCTTTATTTACTGACTTAAGAGTAAACCTAAAACTTATTTCAATGCAATCTTCCCTTACATATGTCACATGATAACATTCATTTACATATGCTTATATAGAAAGAATAATTGCAGCTTGCACAGTAGTCTACAAAGATAGAAATGTCTTCTGGCCTTGGCATTAGACAAAGGGAACTTTGTCCATTTCAGACTGGCTTTCATCATTAAATTTCTGCTGCATTATAATTCTACTTTATGGAGATTTTCTTGATCTTCATAAGAAGTCAGAGTAAAATATTTGTCATACAGATATGAATATTCAGAAATGGTCTTAAAAAAGTATGCCTTATCTTCTTCACATATAAACTCTTAATTTTACACAGACATTTAGTAATCCTTGATTCAATTTGTACAAAGTCTAATGGAATTGAAAATGGAAAGGGAGGATGTATTGGGCCAAATATACAATATATTGCCTACCATGAAAATCAAGATTTGAATTCAAGGTTTTACCTGAGTTTGAATACTAATCTTTAAAACTAGTAAGCAAAACACAACATTTATTAATAACTAATCAGATTTCATTAAACTTTAAAATTACCATAGTTTACCTACTTTGATAATCAGGATTTGAAGTCAAGATTTCTATCTGGGCTTGAACAGTAATCTTTTAAATACTAATCAGAATAATGCTATAATCAGCAGCAACTAATCAGGCAAGGGATTAAAAAAGATTCCACCAATCTTCCAAATTAGGAGAGCTTCCTTTTTCTTCCCCACTGTTTATTGATTAAATAGTAGGGTAGAGTGGGATATTCTGAGAAAAGCTACCCTGAATTCGAAACCATGAAAAAAATGAGAACTTTGAGAAAATAAACAATTAGCAGAGGACTTCTAGTAATTTCAACAGTGAAATTATGAGACCTAACTGCCAATCTAGCACTGTGCTTGAATTTCTGAATTCAAGGTTCCATTGAAGGGATATAGTATAAAAAATTTAAGAATATCTAAACATATATATGACTGACACTAAAATTATATTATAACCTAATTCAATAATAATATATCATTATTATAATTCAATAATAATATATTATAAGAATTCAATCATAAAATATTATTATCATCAGTCATAATATATTATGATAATTTAATATAACATTATGATAATTCAATAGCATAAAATATGATATAATAATATGATATACTAATTCAATAAAAATATTCTATTTCAAAGTTTGTCATGATTTTTTTCAACCTTGATTTCAGCCATAAATTAGGAAAAACAAAAAAGCTGGCCACAATGTATCAAGGTATAAAAAAATATTTTGTTCAATATAAAAATAAGAAAAATCATTTCTGCATTTTCTCAAAACTTTTGTAATGTTTCTTAAAATTAATTTCCCTAAACAGAGAATTATGAATAAACAGGGAAGAAAACATTAATGGATTTTCCATGCTTATTTTGTTATAGAAATGTATAATGAATTCTTTTAATATAAATTTGTAATTTAGAGTTCTATTCTATAACCTGGTCAAAATTTGTGAAAGCAAAAATATATTGAATATATTTTTTAATATGTCTTCCAAATATGAATTTAAACAAAAGAAAAGCTCTTTACTTTTTTATTTTCACATCATATAAAAAAGTTTAATTTTGAGGAACAGTAGAATCTTCTTGTTTTAGCTTTAATATGATTAATTTTACCAGGTTTTCTGATGTAAATAGCTTTAAATATTGAATGCCGAAAATCTTCAGCTTCAAGTTCCCACAATTTAATATCCACTTGCAATAGATGTGTGCATTTCATGTGTGTATTTTTCACAATTTCTCTCTTAATGCTTCATTTGTTTACAGCTGTGATCCCCAGCTGGGCTCTACAAGCCCAGAGAAACTACAAATTGCAACGTTGGAGGAAATAGACAAAGAATAGGTGGCGAGAAAAATTGGTAATAAGTGAATTGAAAAATTCATTGACATGTGGTAATAACTTTTTCATATTTCTACAGTTCTTTATTTGTCCCCATTCTAATTCTTATTTATTTTATTTGTTCCCTTACATTTCTTTTTTCATCTTTTTACATTTCATTTCTTTTTTGTTGTCACTTTCTCTTTTGTTCTCTGTTTGTCTGTCTGTCCCTCTCTCTCTCTCTTTAGGTAGCTTCTATTTCTTTTTTCTCTTTTTCTACTTATTACATTTTTTTACTTCTCTCATTATTTATAGCTTTTATGCTCTCTCCTCATTTGATTTGACATACTTATATATACTTGTATATTTACACACATTTGGCACAAGGACATGAAGAGAGTGCACCCAGTGAAGTTTGAACTCATTATACAATGTTAATGGTCAACCAAACTAGATTGTTAGCCATTAGCCAATGGTAAGGCACCTGATTATTTACTCTATAACTCTTGCTTTTCTTTTTCTTTTCTGCTTTATCTATTTTCTTTTTCTGCAGTTTTTACTCTTTTCTTTTCTTTCTTTCTTTCTTTTGGTCTTTCTTTCTTTCAGTCTTTCTTTCTTTCTTTTCTTTTGTTTGTTTATTTCTTTCTGTATATTTGCTATCTCTCTTTTTATGTACACTTGCTACTTTTTCTTTCTTTCTTTTCATACTTGCCACCTTTTTTTTCTTTCTTTTTTTCGGTATTCTTTCCACCTTCCTTTCTTTCATTAATTTTTCTTCATATTTTCCACCATTTCTTTCTTTCTTTGACAGAAAAACTTACAAATATACACAAAGAATATGTTTACTTGCCAGTTTTTTGTTTTATTTTTCTTTCTTTCTTTCTTTGGGTATACTTGCCACATTCCTTTCTTTCTTTCTTTCTTTCTTTCTTTCTTTCTTTCCTTCCTTCCTTCTTTCTTTCTTTCTTTCTTTCTTTCTTTCCTTCCTTCCTTCTTTCTTTCTTTCTTTCTTTCTTTCTTTCTTTCCTTATACTTGCCAGTATTTCTTTCTTTCTTTCTTTTCATACTTATAACCTTTTCTTTCTTTCTTTTCATACATCAGCTTCTTTCTTTCTTTCTTTCTTTCTTTCTTTCTTTCTTTTTGTTTCCTTTCCTTGTCTCTCTCTTCTCTCTTTTGTGTTTCCTTTCCTTTTCCTACTCTCTAAGTTTCCATAATTTCTCTTTTTATTTATTCTCTCACTGTAATTCTTTTTTTTGTTGTTAAATTTCTTTTCCTCTCATTTTTTTTAGTTTCTTTCATCCAATTTCATTTTCTCCAACCAAGACATAGAGCAGTGGCCATCAACAGGAACCAAGAAACAAAAGACACAATAATAAATGCTTGTCACAGACATATTAAGATACAATTGTGACCAAAGAAATGAAAAGAACCATTTCAATACAGAACCAATCTTAAATTAGATGGGCTGCAATATTTGGTCAAAATGAGAAAAGACATTAGAAAAACAGACCTGGAGAAGGGGAAATTAGTATGAGGGGATGGCATTTAAGGTCAGGGCTAGATAAAGATGAAAAAAAAAAAGAAAAAAGAGATCTGTAATTTCAAATTGTGGCTCCTTGGAGTATGTGCATTAGAAAATTAAACAAGATTCTTTCTGCACTCCTCTGCTTAAATTTTCTACCTACAATTCATCAGACGGTTTGGGAGTTGTCTTCAACCTAGAGAAGGAATAATCTGGTCCAGTGTTCATGAGTTTGGGGGGAGAACAAATATCAATTTTTTTCTCTTTCTGTTTATTTTTTTTTGTGTTCATTAAAAAAAATGTCATGTGGTCTTAATATAGAAGCCAAGCAAAAAGAGGAATCCGAATTGAGAAAAACATAAATAAAAGTAAGTGCATGGAAAATAGGAAGAAATTTGAATCATATAAATAAGAAAGGGGGAAACAAATATTTAAGATCTATACCTTAGCGATGACATTTTTTATTAAATATTTTTTTCTGCCAAGACAGGTTTAAGGTTATGAGTATTGCCCTCCTCTACTGACAAGCAAAACTGAAACCTTACAGATTTACTGCTTAGGCAGACAATTAATAGTTAGACCTCCTGTGTCTGTGGGACATATTAAAGAATAGAATAAAAATGTAATTTTCAAAAAGTAACACAGCAAAGTAAAATATTAATTAGCCTTTATTTTGTGGGTTCACATAACCTGTGCCAATTTGTTTTTAATTACAATAAAAAAAATTCTATACACTTGGGTGATTATAGAATACTGAAAAATCATTACTTAATAAACCAAAAAAATGGAGTCCATATTTCACAAAAGGAGGTGCATAGAGAATAGTGGCTATCCATGCAGAAAGAAGGATCAGTGTTAAATTCAAATTCCAGCCAAGACCTTTCCACATATACCCATGGAAAGGTAAGAAATCATTTCTTCCTCTATCTTGGAGTTAATAGCTGGGAAAATAGAGCTCTCTACTTTTATTTGGCAAACAATCTATGAGAAGGACAACCCTGAATTCAAATCTGATTTGTTGTGGGTCTAATAACTTGCAACAGAGACCACAGCATCAAAGCCCAATGCAGTGACATTGTTGCTCTACACTCCCGACAATAACTGTATAGGACTATATGCATCTCACAAGCTATTAAAAAGAAGATAATCCATAACAATAACATCAAATTTTATAATTTATATATTTGTAAAATCTTATTTACCCAATTTATAAGTGGACTTTTATCCAAATCTTTGTTGTTGTTATCCATTTGTAAATGTGGGATGTGGTGAGTCTCTCATTGCTCTATCACTACTTCCATGGAAAGTGGTCGGACAAACTATATTTCTTGGTTCCACCAGGTCTAACCATTATGGCTAAGACTTGCTATGCCACTTACTCAGTAGAAAACCACCCACATTCCCTCTGTCTTCCATCAGTGAGAAATTCTATTCAAACAGCTTATTCCCGTGAACTATTGTTCTGTGTAACCGACTCCTAAGAGGATGTTTCCTGATCACTATAATCATTACCTGTTCAAGTCTAGAGTTAACTGTTATCTTCTCCTCCTATCCATATAAACTACCTCTTAACATAACCCTCTACCTTGAGTGACCACTGGGCCTAGTAGAGGGTGAACTTTACTGTAAAAAAAAAAAATAGTGTAAATAATGCTAACTCTTTATCCCAGAAATTCAGACAGAAATTGCAATGGTAAAAATCATCACAAATTTCTCGCCACCTATTCTTTGTCTATTTCCTCCAACGTT